ATACATGAAAGTGTAATGCTTGTCATGGTGACAAGCAGTGGCACGCTTCTGCAGTGGTTAGCATTGATGACTCACAAAAAGAAGGTCCTCGATTTGAATCCACCAACTTGCTTGGCATCTCTGTGAAATCTGGATGTTCTCGGGTTGGTTATTCTAAATTGGCCACAGGTGTAAGTGCTCTGTTATCCCTGCAATAGACTGGTGAACTGTACAAGATGCAATCCCGGGACAACTAGGATAGGCTCCAGCACCCTCCATGACCCCATATTTGATAAGCAAATAAGAAAATGAATGGAAAAGAAAAGAATTTGAAATGTTTGTGACATTGTAGATTCATATTGCCAGCTTGTGCACAAAGATTAGAGTCTGTTCTTGTAGGCATTACTGACTCCGATCAAAATGCATCTGTTTAAAAGAGGCAAGCCTTTCAAGCCTCTTAATATAACGTACTGCACGAATACAACAGATGGAGAAGATAGAACTTTACTCTCAGTAGATGTAGAAAAGGATACTGTAGATAGCCCTGCTTGATGCTCTGAATAACAATGTTATTTCACAAGCATTTAATATTAGTAGCTTAGTAGCTTTGCCACCCTTATTGTTTAAACTAACCACAGAACCCATTGTTATGTTGCTGTGGCACACAAGAATATTTCTGGTACACACACAAATATCTTTGCTGTTAAGACTGGTCAGATGCACACATTGCATAGCTCCATTTGAAGATGCTGTTCAAGGTATTCTTGAGGTATAATTACAACTTCCAGATTATTTTCATTTTTCTAAATTTTCTTTCATTTTGTTTAACAAATAAAAGGGGCAGCTCTGTTGCTTACGTTTCCATATTTAAACATATTTACCTGTTTAGCATTTGTAAAATTATTGAAAAAAGTTATGATCCTACCTTTGAGCTTATAAATTAGAAGAAAGATTAATAGTACCTGAAATTAATACCCCTCCAAAATTGTTGTACCTGGTCCAAATCTTTGCTCTTGCCATTTTCCTCCTTTACTACATTTTTGGCATTTGTGTGACAATTTTATTGTGAAATGATAGATGAAACAGGCTACAACTGACATTGCTATACCTGGAAAATTACAGTGTTTTTCAGTGGTACTATTGGGCTGCACAGCTGCAGACTATAATGTATTACTTCTCCCTAAAGCCAATCCAGGATGGGTCGACACTGAATCATCTTAACTTATTCCTGAACTAAGACTAAGACACATGTACTCTGCAAATATTAAAAAGCTGAGAGAGGAAACACCTGATCCATTAGATATTAATACCATTATAATCTGGTGTACCATTTCTTCAGTTTCTGGTTATAGCCTAGCATGGGATAATAATGACTTTAAACCTGGAAAAATGGACGAAGGCATCTACCTGTAGCCCACCAACAGATGGTATGTTTCAAAATGATAACTTAATCATCACCTAGATTACTGCTTGCGACAGGCACCACTTGTGGGGGCTCTGAGCCCTTGCAGGTGGGATGCAGACAATGAGGTGAAAAACATGACGTGAAGTAAATCAACAATTTACTTTACTGACAGCTCCATCCATCCATCTATCCAGCCAACCAAAATTGTAAACATAGAAAAGTACAAAAAGCAGAATTCCAGAATGAGGAGATTGACACATGAAAAACAACTGAGAGGATTCATTAGCAGGATCTAACAAATGAAAAGGGAAGGAGAGGACTGTAGATACACAAAGGACTAATTTAAAGCATGACCAAAACATTAACACTTAAGACATGAAAGCTAGAAAGTTAAGATCACAGGAATGCTCATGCTCATTGCATTGCTTCTTGTTCTTTGCTAGCTTCAACAAAAATATTGTAGTTTTGGAACAACTTTAAATATCCTCTGAAGTATACATGTAATGTGCCAAGATAATGACTTTAATGTGCACAATTTTTGTTTAACTTTCTTCTTTTTTTTCTTGTGTGGGTGTGCTAGTTTAGTCTTTAATTCAGTGTTACTTGCTATAACCCCAAATCAAACAACAATGTCTTTATACTCTGGTGAACAGCAGAAAAAAAACAATTTGATTTTTAATGCATTATGGCACCAATTCAAAGCAACAGGGGTCTTAAAGTGATTTATATTACAAGCAAAAGACCTTTCAGTATTAGAGAGATGACCCCCAACAATTAGACAACCTTATTTGAGCAAGCGCCAGGTAACACTGGGAAAGAATTCCCTTTAACAGAAGAGAACATAAAGAGACAAGGACAAAGCACAGACTATGGAAGAAAGAGGAACATTTTTAATGACATGCAGATGTGGTCTATAATTCACAGGAGAAGAGGTACTCGTTGCATCATGGGGGGTAGCCAAGCCTATAACTGTTTCTTTAAAATGCCTTGTTCTCTCATCAGAGACACTTACGGTGAAACACTCCTGACATTTTCCTCGCCACATTACAAAAAAGACGTGGTAATAAAGACACTTAAAATCCCTCCTTCCTGTATGTTGCAGTGAGCAGTGAAAAAGTGACACTGAGCCATGATGTGCAATTCCAAGGCCCTGAAAGTGAGACAGCTAAATAATATTAAACTCCTACTTTAATCCCTTACACATGTACATTTCCTACTATGTTATATCACTGTAAAAGGCTTACATTGTTTGACACAATCTCTAGATACTTCAAACAAGCATACTTGCATAGACACATAAAAATGCACAGGTACATTTACCTCCCCTCTATAATGCAATCACCTCATGCAGTCACGTCATTAGACTTACAGCATGTTCATTGTGGCAGCCACTGGGCACTATGATTAGATTTAGGCTGGGTGAGTAGTCAAGCATTGATTGTCATTTCTATCTGAATATGTCATATACCTCATGTCCTTAAGGGTAACAAGACACAAGGCTATTATACTGATAAATGCTCTAATTTTAAATGTGTACCTCAGGGAGCAAAATGTATAACATAAAGCAGAAACACAGTCTGGCACACACTGTTATTCCACTTCCTACAACATCTATATTTGCATTTCAAGATCTAGATTAACTGGTTTCAAATAAACTTACAGTTCTGCTGGTGTTGAATTACTGCAATAACGATGGCTCCATTCAGCGCAGTAAACTGTGTTAATCCCAGCTTTTTAAATGTAGCTATTGGCAGCATTTTAGGAGAAGAATGCACCACTCGAGCGCTACCTTTCAACGTTTCTGATCCAGCAGTCATAGCGAACTAAAATCTTCTTACACTGACAAATACAACTGGTATTAAAAAAAACAAAACAAAAAGTAAATTCCTCCTCACTAACAGTTAAAAAAATATGAGCCATCAGTCCAGACAGTCCCAGTGAAAATGCAAAATAACTCAGCTGTGAGAGTCCAGACGCTTTTCTGTCCAAGCTCCTGAGACAACTCAGCTGTAGTTGTCTCAACCTTTGTTGTAGTAGTAGTAGCAATAGTAGTAAAATTAGTTTGCTAATACTTCAGGTACATTAATCTGATTATTTGCATTGGAAATGTATTCCTGTGCATTTTAAATTCGCCTTCTTTGATGTGTTGTAGATTGTCATGAGCTTATGTTGAAAACAGGCTTTTATCTCTGAACTGATGAGTCCTGACTTTTTTAAAGGGTACAGTTTGTGATATTCTCCCATATTTTACAGTGTATCTGTTGTCTCTCAGTCATTACCTGACAGTGTTAAGTAAAGGGTATTTTCTGTTTACCTTAAAGTTACTGAACAGTTTCAGATGTATAAAAGATGCATTCAGATGCATTCATTAGAAAATCCCCTACACCATAAAGTAGTTTCGTCTTATTCAAATAGCCTACAATAGCTTTACAAACTAACAACAATAATGACAGAACAATGACTTTATAATAATAAGCTCATTATACACTCACTTTATAATCTTTTGGACACATACACACTTTACTCGGTACACAACCTCACTAGTACTAGGTTGTGTACTCATCTTCTGATGGCTGGAAGCAGACAATAAGTACACTAATCAGGAGTAACCCCCCACCCACCTACTCCCTCTGGACCCTAGAAGAGGGTGGGGGTGTTTTGTTATACAATGTCCCTTCCAGTCAGTTTGTGACAATCTGTGGTGAAAGGGCTTCTCTCATTTGTTCATTAGATACATTACATTTGTCTTCATGTTACTTTAGCAGGGCTGAATGTGTTCTGGGTTTGTGATAGTCTAGCTGAAGAAAATAGTGCCTACCATAGAGTTGTTTCACCTGTGACTTTTAAATGATGCCCAGATGATACCAAGGAGCATAAAGTGTGTCAGGAAAGTATCCCCCACACTGTTACACCATCAACAGCAGCTTGAATTATTAATTCAAAGCAGGATGGATTCATGCTTTCATGTTGTCCACATCAAATTCTGCCCCTTCCATCTAAATGTTACGGCAGAAATTGAGACCATGCAACATTTTACCAGTCTTCTACTGTCCATTTTCCAAATAGTAGACTCAATTTCCTGTTCTTGGCTGACAGGAGTGGCACCCCGTGTGGTCTTCTGCTTCAAGGTTTGATGCATTGTGATTTCAGCGCTGGTCTTTTGCATATGCTGTGGTTGTAACAAGTGGATGTTTGAGTTATTATTGCCTTCCTACCAGCTTGAATCAGTCTTTTCTTTGACTTGTAATGTCAAAAGGCATTTTCATCCAGAGAACTGCCACATAGGAATACCACAGGATAGTTTCTCTTTTTCAGACTATTCTCTGTAAACCCTAGTGATAGCTGGTTGTCAGTTTCTAAACCACCACCATATAGATGGCCCGTGACTAACAGTCTAGGTGTATAATATATAGCTTTTGGACAGAGGACACCTACTTGCAGTTCTCCTCCTGAACACCTAATCTAATAAAGGGTTGATTAAGCACTGCTAACTGGATAAGCTGCAGAAAAAACCCGTCTGGAATTCTGGTGTGTAGCTCTCTTGATCGATCAGATGTGCTTGTGTAAAGACCGAAAACTTACATTTGTTCTGGGCCAACACACGGGACGCTCTTCCCCTTTAAATCTTTCCGCTAAACGGGAACGTGCTTCCTTTGACTGGTTTGGGATCACGACAGCGGCCGCCCTCTCTCGCGCACGATTGGCCGAGCCGTGGGAATATTCAAATGAAGCTTTGATTGATTGGCCCGGAGCCGGTTTCAACAGTGCAGAGGACTCATTTTCATTCCGACATCACTCTCCGTGGTTCACACGGCTCGGTTAGGCTTGCTGACATGATACGCAAGCGATGGCAAGGAAAACCTAATCGGTGAAATTATCTCCCACACCAGCGGCGAATATGTCGAGGAAGTGCAGTTAACGGAGCCAGCTTTATCAATGGATATTCCTCCCGGGGTTTCAGGCGCTCATCGCGAATTCTGTGGCGAGATTGCTTTTGCAGAGGAAATACGCCTTCCGAGCAGGAGAACAACCAATCAGCCGTGGCGAACCAAAGATAAACAAGCCTTATGATAAGACAAAACTCTGTAAGACATCGATCACGTTTCCCCTTTTTCCTCTATAATAATGTTTAATCTCCTCTGTGGGGACTCCTGTGAAATGTTTGTTTTTTAGTTTTTTTCAGTAATTTAGTTTGCCATGCATTTGTGCCAGTCAGACTGCCTCTACTCTAATTATGTGTGTGTGTGTGTGTGTGTGTGTGTGTGTGTGTGTGTGTGTGTGTGTGTGTGTGTGTGTGTGTGTGTGTAGTATTTAACAATAACGGAGTGAGAAAGGAAATAAGGTTCGTACGGGCGCTTCAGCGTGTAATGCCAGCATTGATTTTAGGTTGACAGCGATGAATTGGTGAAAGATGCCCAGTACGCACTAATAGGATAGGAGCGTCTCGCCCTTACTGTATATCATTATAGCTGTGTATTATATCTATTGGCCAGTGTGCATTCATCAGAGCGGAGGTCGCTCATTTGTTTTCGTCTTAAACAATAATATATAGTATTTACTAGCTCCAACATGTATTTAACGAGTAATTGTAGAAAATATAGGAGGCACGTGATTTTTATTTTATTTCAAGACACAAAACATTTTTAAATTTTTAGTCTTTTTTTCCTATAGAGGCGTTATGGTGTAAGTAAATATCAGTCGGCACATCCATGAATGGGATGAAGGCTTTGAAAGGCGCTTTATATGTCAGCATCTCAGTGGATATGGGAAGTGCTTTGAAGTATATTATCGGTCATTCATGGCTGCCTCAGAAGGTTTCCATTTCTATTGTCTAGAAGCCGGAGGTGGGATCATCGCACCTCACTGCACCGGTGGCAGCCGAGGTTGAAGGTTAGCCGCAGCGGAGTTCCTAAAGATTATTGGCCAGGTGTGAAATTCTACCCTGCATGCTTTTCCTGCTTGGGCCAGATCCTTTATTACCCAGAGAGATGGGATGTCACAGCTTAGCACCAGAGGCAGAGAAGAAAAGCCAGCAATTTGGTGTTTTATTATCATCTTCTTTTTCTTCTGGCTGTTTCCAGAGCAAAAGAGAAATATATGCCAACTCCCCTGGGTTTAGTTTAATAGGCTTTTCTGGGTCGTTTTTCTTCCTTATGGCTTTCCTATAAACATATTTAAATTATGACTTTCTGGCCTTTGATTTATTATAATGTCAGAGTGTATTGAAAATATTGCCGCCTGCTCATTTCCATCGCTTTTCTTTTCTCTCTGAAAGCTTCAGTTTGAAAATCTTACTTTCAGCTAACTAGCTGTAATTACGTGTTCACATTGTGTTTGCGTGTTTGAAGTATGTGTTGACCGAGTCCGAACTTGCTCGAGAGGCTTTTAATTTGCATTGTATCAGGAGCAGTCAGTGTGCAGGTAACCCCCATGGGGGTTTCCCTCTGATCTCACATCTCACACCCCAGCAGTAATTCCAGCTCTGTGAGGGAAAAGGGATTTGTCATTTGGCTGCCTGCTTCCCTTTGCTTTCTCAGGAGCGAAGCTGAGCTCTGATTTATTGTGAAATTTCCTCAGGCTGGCTCAATCTCCAGGCCTACCGAATTACTGAATGGAAGGAGCTGCTCGCTAGGAGAATGACCTTTTCTTGAAAGATTATTACTCAGGCAAGTGCAAGGACTAATTAAGGTCATGTCCTTTTTTCTGCTATGTCATCCATTGACTGACTTTTCAGGGTACAGCGAATTTTCTGTGGTGTATCAGTCCATGGATGTGGAATGATAACATGAAGCAGATGACTTGGAAAATATATGGATGGGTGACAAACAAAACCTGATCCCTTCTCCTCTACAGTAAAGGGATCCAGTGGCCCCGTTGTGATGTGGATGGGATTTTTGTCCTCTTCTTTGTGTTTCCAGTAAAAAGTAGCCACACCCTACAATGCCCTGTCTTTATTGTCTTTTCTACTCAAAATAAGCCCATGCTTTACAAATTGAACACTGTGTTGTATCCAGTAAGACTTAAAGTAATGGCTGGGGTGATAAACGCATAAGAAAAGTGCTTACTGAAGCCATAAATGAAGTGAAAATTGGGGCGATTTTTTTGTAGGCCGCGCATTAATTGCTGTCTACTATCAGAAGAGTCGCCCCCTGCTGGTTATTAGAAGGAGTTCAGATTTAACCAATTTCCAGACTGGCTTCTGATCCAGAAACTATTTTACAGCCTTACCAGTCGCCTGACTTCAAAGCACTGAAATACCTGTGGGACGTTATGGACTGTAAGTACTTTGCACAACCATCAGACTTGGAAGAATAGGAAGAATCAATGCCAAGGTGCACCGAGGCTGTTTGGTGGCACATGCCGGCCCGGCACTTTACTCGGTGCTATTTCATTTTTTTTCATTTGGTTTGTCATCTGTCTTCTGTGCACTCAACTTGTCCATTTCACTGGGATAATGTCAGTGGTTTTTTTGCTTAGCAATTTCTCCTGTGCACCCTTTGTAATCAGCTCTTTATCTGCTAGGAGATGTCAGGTGTAATTATGAGCAGCCTGTCATCTTTTGAAATTTGTCTAATTGGTCTTTTAATTCTAACAGGATGAAGGCTTAGTGAGATGTGGGCTGTGGGTTGAAGGTTAAGGACTGGGCCTCCTGAGGTTAGGGAGGAGGGAACCAGCCCTCCTAAGGTTGTTATTGTTTTGTCTACATACTGCTACTTGGTAATTATTTTTGATTAATGTAAAGCCAAATTTGAACTGATGCGTCATCATTTAGTCTGAAAAGAAAGGCTAAAGAAAGGCGGTGAGATGATGTCTTTATAAGCTGAACCAAAGATCAAAGACTCTTTTCTCATAGAGCATTTTAATGTTTCTGTGATGCATGGCAGAAAGCTTCTCATTAGGTTCATCTCCTGCATAAGAACCATACAGGCAGCATTTTCTCCACAGTTTTTAATGAGTTGTTTGTTTGCCCCGAAATTTTAATGGCTTGAAGGAATCAGTGACCCTTTACAATTTAGCAGTAAACTAAGAAGCCAGGAGCTAGGACTTGGGAGAAGATTGTTTGTCTAACATAAACTCATTTTTATCTTTTTTGTCATGGAATTGGAAGACTAAAAACAATCCTGCCTGTCCACGGTTTGGCAAACAGATGTCATGTTAAAGTAATAGTCTTCATCTACTGACAAAAGAGCTTATCTCTCCACAAAACCTACAGCTCACTCTCATTCACGATCTGTTATCTTTGAAGTCAGGGTTTTCTAAAGGCCAGGCTGCATACCCATAGCTCTTTGACAGTGTGTCTCAAGTGTGCATACTGGGATAAAGATAAGATAAAGCTCTGTTTAGCCTCTAATGCTGCTTTGGCATTGGCCAGACTTTACCCAGTGTGCAGTGTGTTTCTTTTACCTTGGCACTGTGTGTGCACATAGACCATTTTGGGTCAGCCCAAGGCTTCCTGCTCAAAAAAAAAAGGCTGTTTAAAAAGGTTTAGATTCGTGGCTGAATTTGTGCTTCACATCTTTATGTATAAAATGTCAGAATTACTGTTTTCCAAATAGTTAATTTAGTATTTAGACTTCTTTTTTTTCTTTTTACCTTTTTTCCCTAATACTAGCATTTCATGCTTGCACAAATGAAAGCTGAGCATAAAAGCAAAATTCTACATGTGTATAGGTTGTGTCGTGTAGATTAAATACAGACAGAAATGACCTATATTAACAGAAAAGTAAATGATTAATTGTTTGAGAAAAACTGTGACCCACACAGATCATCTGTTTCTATATCAAAGTCCTTCAAGAACCTCGAGCCTACCGTGGACTAGGTCTGGTCATTTGTTGACCAGCAGTTTCACTGGTCCCAGGACATAAATACAAACTACACATAAAAATCACCCAGTGAAATCTGAAAAACAAAGCTTGAAAAGTTTGATTGCTTTTCCCTGAAATGTAGTTTTAAAAAGTTGAATTAACTGTTTGTTTGTTTGTTTTTACCCTGTAAATTATACTTCTACCACCATCTTTGCTGTTGCAGAACTCTTCCATAGATTTCAATTCAGGATTCTGCAATTTGGCCGTGGGCCAGTGTTAGCTATTTAATATTAGCTGGTCAATCTATTGGCATTGTCATGCCTGTTATATAAAATATTTTAAAAGTAAAGAAGAGACATATCAGTATTTGGTATCTATCTTAAAAATCTTGTATCAGTCAGACACATCTCTGGAAGTTAGAAATGTCAACTTGTGCTCAAAAAATGTTGTCGCTATTAGATAAAGGGAGGGTTAAAATTTGGTCATTTGAATTGTATGATTGTGGGATTTGCAAAAAATAAATGTCTGTGTTTAGAAGGAAAAAGTGATTTACATAAGAAAGTAGAGGGCACACAGCAACCTCCAGGACTGGAAAAATAACTGCAGATACGTGAATGGGTAAAGGCTGTAAACATCTTTATAGCTCACATTTTAATATTAATCATATTTTCCCAGTGACTTATTGACCTGGCTAATAATGCTGCATAAGTTACATCCAACCGAATGCTCATCTGCCGCAATATTATACATGATAAATTGCATAAAGTTTGTGCTTGCATAAATAAGTTGTAGGAAATGCGTTCTTACACTGTTGTAAAGCCTTTTACAGGAACTAATCTTGGTGCTAATGAGGCTCATTGTTATCAGCCGCAGGCCCAAAGTGTTCTTGCTACTAAAGCAGAGTGACTTCGGGTTGTTTGGCTATCCTGCGCATGAACCTTTGTTTCCTTTCTCCTTTATTTATTTATTTTTTGCTTTCTCTACACTAAATGTGAAAAGAGAAGTATGGCTCTCTTTTGTATGCTATTCTGATACCAATTATGTAAACTATTATAGAATTTAACCAGGCCAGCTCTTATCGGTTAATCCAGAAGTAATAGATTCTATTAAAAATGTATGAAGGGATTGGGGACGGATGATCTGTGTGTGTGTGTGTGTGTGTGTG